AGACACGCTCAGAATAATACACCTGTGAGAGGCCCAGCAAGACAGATCTCCCCAGTGCTCCAGTGAACACAGGGTCACGGAAGCAAACAATTGGCAGTGCTCTGAAGATTCTGAGATGACCATTGGCCCCAAAATATTTCCTCCGGAACTTGCATTTGCTTAAACTCCCAGGTTAGAGTGATTAATGGGTAGTCATCATTGTTTCAATGCCTGCGTTCGAGCTGTGGCCTTGACCTGATTGGCTCCGTGACCTGGCACAGGTAAGTTGCCCTTGCAGGGTCTCATTCTCCTCAAGAGGAAGTATCACAAAGCCACACATTTAAAAACCAACAGAAAGCCTCAACTTAAATTAAGAAACATCTATTTATCAAACGCCGTTTATCTGGATAGAAGCGAATTCAAAGGACAGGTATCAACGAAGAAGATGTTTTCTCCTTAAGAGCCTCCGCTCCTTGCATCATCATGCAGAGCCTCCTTGTGGCCTGGTGTCCGGCAGGTGGAAGTGCTTGCACGCTGAGCTCCTGCTGCCCAGCTCTGCTGAAGACACCGGGCCATCACAGCCTGAACGGGTAGGTGTTGGGTGCAGACCCTTGGAAGGATGCCCACAGCAAGCCCAGCAGGACACGAAGAAGTGCACCGAAATCAAGGTCTGATGTTTGGATAGAGGCTAACTCCACATTTGCACAACTGTCATTGTAAAACGACAACAGAGATGTTTGCAAATCATTGACTTAATAATTGTTTAAGTCTTTTCAAAGACTTCCTCTGGACGGAAAACAGCCTTGCCAACACCTTGAGGTTAGCCAGGTGAGACCCATTTCAGGTAGTAATTGGAGATTAGGAAACAAAATTAGAACTCTGCAAATGTTTAATGCCTGAGGGTGATCTGGCTAATAGAGAAAATTCTATTTATTTTCCTCTCTTCATATTCTTCCCCCCTCCACCCCCGTATTGCCCTCAAGGAACATGAAGACTACAAGGTGATATGGGAACCAAACATACAACTATAATGGTGTTTCTATGAGGAAAAGTGTCACTAAAAAGTGTAGGAGGGACACTTAAGTCCAACTTGGGGAGCTCAAAGATTTCCTGGAGGAAATGGCCACTGTATTAATCTGGGTTGCCCAGGGAAACAGAACCAATAGAATATACATATATGTTTGTGTGTGTGTGCATCCACATATATGATTTATTATAAGGAACTGGCTCACGCACTTACAGAGGCTGAGAAGCCCCAGGATTTGCAGACGGCAAGCTGGAGACCCCGAGGAGCCAACAGTGTGAGTTCCAGTGCGTGTCTGAGTCCAAAGGCAGGAGATGATCAAGGTCCAGCTCCAGCAGTTGGGCAGAGAAACCAAATTCCCTCATATTCTACCTTTCTGTTCTATTTGAGCCTTTAATGGATTATTGAGGGGGGGAGGGAACTGCTTTACTCAGTCTACTAATTCAAATCTTAATTTCATTCAAAACACCCTCACAAACACACCCAGAATAATGTGTGACCAAAGATTCTGGGCATCCTGAGCTCCAGTCAAGCTGACACACCACAGCCACTCAGGTGTGACCTGAAGGATTAGTTTCTAAAGCATCATACTCCAGCCTAGCCCAATGATTATAACAGGAAATATTTTCCAGTGCTCAAAAAGAACAAAGCAGGTTCTGATGGGGAAAGGTCTCTAAGGTATACCAGTGAACAAGGCAATTCTCATAATAATTACATATTTTATCATCTCATTCTTGTAGAAAAGAAAAAGATACATATTTGTAAATGTGCATATGTGCATCCAAGGCACAGAAGGAAGCAGAAAATGCACAACACTGACAGCGATTGTTTCTGGGAAGAGGAGGAGGGAAGGGGCTGGAAGGCCCACAGTCTGTACTACCTTTACTGTGGGAATCTTCTATAAAGAGTGTATTCGTGCAACTCACACAACAAGAGATAAAACAAGGAGGTAATATGCAAATAATTATATATGAATATTATTAAACAAATAGAAGCAGTTGAAAATAAGGCTTGGAATATACCTTGCTGCGTCCCTCCCTCATATTAACGAGCGCAGAGCTGACTACTACCTGCTTGCATGGAAGGGGTGAGGAGTGTGGGGACCTGGAATTGGCCACCCCAAGATATGTCTCTTTGGCATCAGGATTATTTGAGGTTGATTGCTTTTGATAAACTGGGACAGGGAAGGAGGAATGGAACTTGCCCTTTGTTAGGACACGTTTACATTTGTAAGGTAAATCTCTATCTGTAAAAGGTACCTCCCTCTCTGTACCAGGAAGAAGAAAGGCGATGACCTACTCTCCAAAAACTCTTAATCAATACCAAAGGCAAGGACTTAAAATCTGCATTTTATTGTGCTAGTCTGGTAACCTCCTGTAACTGACTTCCCTCCCCCTCCCAACGTTGGCATCTCCTTAAAGATTAAGCATCTTTCTTTAGGCTGCGAACCGGATTGTGGCGCTCATCTGTGGACCGCTCCCGCCCCCCCCCCCCCCCCCAGCCCGAGGCAACACACCTGCCACCCCGCGGCGTTCACTGGGACAGTAGACCTATCTGTCGTTTCCATCAAGCGCTGTGCTGACAGAGCAGCCTCGTGACTGTTGTAAAAGGGACTTTTCAATCATATGTGAAACACCCCATTTGGGGGCTATATAACGACTCTGTGCACCCCACTTCTTCGGTGCCCTTTCTTCCTTTGGGAAGAAAGGCCCCGGGCCATGGTTCCTCATAAAGCTTTGTTTAATTTTCTCTTGCTATTCTGTCTCATGTGAATTTAATTCGTTCTCCAGCTAGACGAACCCCCATTTGGGGAGAGGAAATGTCCTCCTCCCCTACAGGAGGTAGAAGGAAAGGGAAAGAAATACCACCCAGCATATGTGTACGCACACAAAGGGACGTGGCAGAATAGTCACAAATTTAGGGAGAGAACTTTTGAGTGATGGGATTCTTATGGGAAGTTTCATGTTCTTTTGGCTTCTCTGCATTTTCTTTCTTTCTTAGGCTTTTATATTTATAAAACCTATATCTACTTTTAAGAACACAATACATGTCCATGGTCTGAAATTCAAAAGCACAGACATCCAGGGAAAAGTCTCTCCCACACTCATCTCTTACCTCCCAGCACTCCTCCCAGAGGCACTGTGCAGTTTCCAGGTTTCTAACTGGTCCTTCCAGGGATAGTTTAAGGATTTTTCCGCCTATTCTTTAGTTTTCTGTTGTACCCAAATGGACACATACAATAAACACCTTCCTATACATTGATTTTCCTCCATTAACACATCTTGGAGATTGTTCCAATTCCGTACACACAGAACTGCCTCGTTCTTTTAAACAGCTGCATGGCATTCCACTATGTCAGTATACTGTGACTTCCTTAATCAGTTTTCTAAACGAGTTTTTTTTTTTTTTAACTTATCAGGCATTTTATTAATTTATTTAATATTGGCCCTGAGCTAATATCTGTTGCCAATCTCTTTTTTTCTTCTCCTTCAGCCCAAAGCTCCCCAGTACATAGTTGTATATTCTGGTTGTAGGTCCTTCTGGTTGTACCATGTGGGACTCTGCCTCAGCATGGCCTGACGTCGTGCCGTGTCCCGCCCAGGATCCGACCCGGGACCCGGGGCCACCAAAGCGGAGTGTGTGAACCTAACCGCTCCGCCACGGCAGCCCCCATGGGTTATTAAACTGTCCTTCACCTTTTCCTTTTACAGGCTGTCGACAAATAAAAATGGCAAGCAATAGGATATATTGGAGTATATGAGGAAGCCATTTGATATAACCTAATTCAGCCTGACTTTGTTTCTTCCAAAAGGGCCTAACTGTGGCTGTTGAGCATGCATTGTATATCTGCTTAGACATTTCCTGTGGCCAGAACAAAGGCCCTTGAGATAAAGGTGCAACTTCCCCCCACATTAGCATTTCCTTAGGGATAAGCATCTTTCCTTAGGCTAGGAACTGATTGCTGCACTCACCTTTGACCACCCAGCTCACCTGTGACCAGTCAGCTGGAGACAACAGACTGCCACCCTGCTGTGTTCACTGAGAGAGCAGACCTACCTGCTGTGTCCATCAATCGCTGTGCCCACAGAGCAGTCTCGTGACTACTGTAAAAGGGACATTTCAATCCTATGTGAAACATCCTCTCTGGGGGTATATAACCACTCTGTGCACCCCACCTCTTTGGTGCCCTTTGTTCCTTCGGGAAGAAAGGCCCCGGGTTATAATCCTCAGATTTAAGCTCAGAATAAACTCACCCAAATTTTCATTTATAGATTGGTTATGGATTATTTTCATCGACACTGTAATGACCATCCTCATAAGGCAGGGAGCTCTGAGCAGTGCACATAACTTGTTCATCTTCAAACACCTAGCTGCTAGCATCATGTGTGTACAATGAATCAAGTACAAAATACTTATATGATGTTTCTTTTTGCATTCAACCTGTCAAGGAAGTTTTTTTACAGCTCTATTGAGATATATTTTACATACCGTAAAATGTACAGTTCAATGGCTTTCAGTTTATTCAGAGTCCTGCAGCAATCACAACAGTCAATTTTAGATCATTGTCCTGCCAGGACCCCCGCCCCCGTCCTGCACGCATGCCCTGTCCCGCATAGACCCCGCGTCCAGCATAGACCCCCTCCCGTCCCGCACGGATCCCCCGTCCCCTCAAGGACCCCCCCTCGTCCCCGCAAGCACCCTCAGTCCCGCACGGATCCCCCGTTTCCGCACGGACCCCCGCGTCCCCCAAGGAACCCCCGTCCCGCACGGAACCCCCATCCCCGCAAGGACCCCCGCGTCCCGCAGGAACCGCCGGTCCCGCCAAGACCCCGCCAGGCGGCGCCGCGTGGGCTCCGGGCGCACGGCCCGCGAGGGAAGGTGGGCTGGATAGGACGGGCGGCCACGGTGCCCCGAGGACCGGCCGCAGGGGCCAAAATGGCGCTCGGAACCCACGGCGCGACCCCCCTTTCAGGCGCCAGAGGGGGCGCGTCGGCCGAGGACTTCCGGGGCGGGGCCTGGAGGAGCGGAAGTTCCGGCGGCGCCAGGGTCGGGCGGGTTCGGCCGGAGGCGGCGGGAAGGCTGGCTCGCCGGGCGGGGCAGCCATGAACCTGGAGCGCTTGCGGAAGCGTGTGCGGCAGTACCTGGACCAGGTGGGCAGTGCGGCCGGGGGCCCGGTGCGCACGGCGGGCTGGCCCGAGGCTCTCGTTTGGGGCGAACCCCGCAGGGAGGACGCGGCCCCGGCCCGGTCCGCAGCCGGACGAGGGCAGCCGGGAGCGGGGTGATCCTCGCGCGTGCTCTGGCCGCTCTGTGGACGGCCGCACCGGAGCATCGGGCGCGCAGTGGGGGCTCCGTGCGGCCGGGCACCCGGCGCGCAATGGGGGCTCCGTGCTGCCGCACCCGGGCATCGGGCGCGCAGTGGGGGCTCCGTGCTGCCGCACCCGGGCATCGGGCGCGCAGTGGGGGCTCCGTGCGGCCGGGCACCGGGCATCGGGCGCGCAGTGGGGGCTCCGTGCGTACTTAGCGGTCAGTGGAAGTGGAAGGATGACTTTAGGAGGAAAATTGCAGGGCAGTGTTTGAATTTAGTTAGCTAATACGAAAGTTTTTTGAGAAGTTTAGCTCTGATTTTTATTTTGCTGAATTTCAATGAATAAAGATACAAACTAGCATGTCGTCTCAAATCAGTACTTTAAAAAGTTCATGTTAACTACATCTGCATTTCCTGCACCACCCTTTAACGTACAGCAAACAGTGTTTAAGGAAAGAATTGTCTCCAGAATCAGCAGCTTCAGTTTAACCTATGATGTCACCGGTTTTTGTAAAATGTACGCTTTCCCGATAAATTGGAAACAAAGAAGGGGAGGGAAGATCATGTTAAAGGTGAAATGTTCAGAATTGGACGTGAGATGCTGCTGCCGGGTGTCTGCACCGCGCTGGAGAGCTGTGTTTGGATTGTCCGGGAGTCAGTTGAGTTGAACAGATGCTTCTTGAGCTCTGGCTCTGAGGATGGGGAGGCGCAGACAGGCCTGGTTTCCCCGCTTAGGGCACTTAAACTGGGCAGTCCGGTACCCGTCCCAGAAGCGTTCCTCCTCCAGATTGACTGGCAGCAGAGTTCCTGGTTTGCATCCAGGAAAACTGAGGCAAAGATCCTGGAAAGACTGAGGACCATTGCTAATGATGAGATATTGCAAAATAGCCAGTGAAATTATCTACCGTTTTTGATACTTGCTGATATACAGTTTTGTGATGTATAAGTTAAAAAAAACCTGCCTTCTTGAACTGTGTATATCAAAGATCTTTTAATAATGTTTTTATTGTACAATTGAATTAAAACTCACCTAGCTGAGATATAAGATAGAGGTTTCATTGATAGACGCCTACTACATGTAAAACGTCATTGTATTGAGATGTCAACTTATTGTATAACATTCTAATAATATTAGATATCTGTTTAACACTTGAAATAACAGGGCAGTTACCACTTTCTCTTTTTTTTGGATACAGCAACAGTATCAAAGTGCTTTATTTTGGGCAGATAAAGTAGCCTCACTCTCTCATGGTAAGTGACAAATTCTAATATTTTTTCTGATTTCTCCATCTTTAAGACTCTTTCTGTTTTTCCTTGTACCTCTGGCCACTTATGTAATTTTTCCCTCCAGAGGAGCCCCAGGACATTTACTGGTTGGCTCAGTGTCTTTACCTGACAGCACAGTATCATAGAGCAGCTCATGCGCTTCGGTCACGAAAACTGGACAAAGTAAGTAATTTTGTGAACTTTAAAGTTTCCCAAAGCTTTTTTAAAATGTCATTGCCTTAGTATATTAGGAGCATGTGTTTTATGTCAAAATTATTTAAAAGGATTTGATTTTTCTTACTGAATGTGAAGAGAAAATTCATTAACTCTAATCTCAGTCACCTTGTTTTTCCTCTCTCCCTCCCACCATCTAGTCACTAAGTTGAAAATTTCGTTTTCTAAATAGCTTTGAGGTGACAGATGGTCCTTTCCATCTTGTTACCACTAGTAGATGTCAGGCGTTTCATTTGTCTGTTTTGTTGTTTTAGTCTCTTCTTGTCTCTTTTCCGGTGACATCTTTCCCACTTCCAACCTTCCCTGTTTCCAGTTCATCCTTTAAACTATCACAGGAATGGTCTTCCTAAAACACAGATCTGATTACAGTCATGTGCTGCGTAACGACGTTTCGGTCAATGATAGATTGCATGTACGACAGTGATCCTGTAAGATTAGTACTGTGTGTAGTAGGCTCTACCATCCAGGTTTGCACCAAGTGCACTCTGTGCTGTTTGTACAATGATGATGTCACCTAGCGATGCATTTCTCAGAGCACGTGCTCGTTGTTAAGCAACGCGTGACTGTATGTCACAGTATTGCTTGGTGATTTCCCATTACCTACACGATAAAATAAGGTGTATTAATAGACACCCGAGGTCCTTTATGATTTCCCTTCAGTCTGCGTCTGACCCTCCACTGCCATCGATATGTGTAACGTACTCCAGTCCTGCTACTTGTGGCTCCTTAGATGTGTGATGATTGTTCAGACGCAGTGCCTGGAATGCTGACAGCTCCTGACTTATCCTTTCCCTGCAGATGTGTGATGATTGTTCAGACGCAGTGCCTGGAATGCTGACAGCTCCTGACTTATCCTTTCCCTGCAGATGTGTGATGATTGTTCAGACGCAGTGCCTGGAATGCTGACAGCTCCTGACTTATCCTTTCCCTGCAGATGTGTGATGATTGTTCAGATGCAGTGCCTGGAATGCTGACAGCTCCTGACTTATCCTTTCCCTGCAGATGTGTCCTTCAGCTGGCCGCACTTCTCATGCCCTTCTTCCTAGTTTATGAAAGAAACTATGTGCGGTGTTCATGTCTGCCCTGCTATAACCCCTTGAGGGCAGGTCCTTACTCCTTTTTGAATCCTTGGTGCCCGGTAAACAGATTGTTGATGAGTATGAAAGTTAAAAAGACTGGATTTTTTTCTCTGCAAGAGTAAAAGGAAAAACGATGAAAATAGCTTTCTTCATGCCATGCTTATAGTTTTCTTTTAGAGTGAAGATGTACATTATCTTGACCACTCTTTTAATAGACTAATTTCATTCCAGTTGTATGAAGCATGTCGTTATCTTGCAGCTAGATGCCATGTAAGTATGCTCTAAGTTCATTTTTCTTTGGTAAAAGTTTAATTGTATGGATGCTGTGCATCCCTCGTGTGTGAGAATTCTAGTGATGGAGCTTGGCAGATTAGTGAAGTATTTCATGAGGAAATGTTCTTTTCTTTAGTATTGTTTGCTATAAGATATTGATTCTCCATTTAGTAGAAGCTGACGTGCATGAAGAAAATTCAACTTTAGACGTGTTAAATTTAAATAATGAGTGGGATTAATATTAACCTGTTAAAATCTGTAGTATTTTTGTGTACATCTAGTGTTAGAAGTCATGGATAATAAACGGTATTTCTGTTTTCTGCATAGTATGCTGCAAAAGAGCATCAGCAGGCTCTTGATATTCTTGACATGGAGGAGCCAATCAACAAAAGACTATTTGAAAAATACTTAAAGGACGAAAGTGGCTTGAAAGACCCCTCCAGTGACTGGGAGATGTCACAGTCCTCAGTAAGTAATAAACAGGCGTCAGTAGCATCAGTAAAAACTACCCACATGACATGACAAACATAAATCCTCTTCTTTTACTTGCTTGAGTGTAACCATGTTAAAGCAGTTTGGTTGCCAACTTACTTATTGCCCACCAAAATCCAAAAAGATTCCAATACGTCTCTAAGCCATCACTTGGAAGCTCTAATTTTGTCCTCAGATGCTTGAATCTGAAATAGACTGAGGTCTTCCTTCTCGTATCTGATGCCTTAAACTACTCCCCAGAGGTGGCGGCATCTTTCCCCTTCTTAGTGTGTTTCAACAGTGTTTTGTACCTACCCCCAAGAAACTGTGATTACTTGAGATTGTTTCTTTTTTTCCAGGGAGTGGTTTGGTCTTACTATTTATGTTATTTTGTATATTTCAGTTTGTATAATTTATATCTGCATGAAATTGCAAATTCTTTGCTGGCAGAGATTAAATAATGTAACATAATAAATGATACCACAGTCAGATTACTAATCTGGGCTGTTATTCTTTTCTTTTGTTAACAGCTTTCTTGAGATATAATTCACATACCATGCAATTCATTCATTTAAAGTGTACAGGTCGATGGCTTTTAATGTATTCACGGAACTGTACACCCCTCATCACAATCAATTCTAGAATGTTTTTATTACTCCAGAAATAAACCCTGTGCCTGTTAGCTGTCACCCACTGATTCCTCTATTCCCCTGGTTATTCTTTATAACTTACTTAGGAAGGGACTTGGTTACCCTACTTTTCATCTCAAAAAGGTAGGAATACTACATTCTTAGGTGTTTTCTCTCTCCCTCTCTCTTTTTTTTCTTTTGAAGTGTTTGTGTATTAATTTATGTACTATGAAGCTCATTCAGTTTTCTGCTAAGAAATGCATTTATGAGGGAGCTCGGTATTATTATTTTTGGATGTCTTATCCATTAACTTATGTCTAAGAAATGTGTGATTTATTTGTAGTGCATTATTTTATGAAATGACTTTTTTTTTTTTTTTTTACAACTCATAGGATATTGCATAGGTCTAAGGTTCTCTCACAATGTTCTCCAATATTTTTTAAATTTTGATTTTTATGATGACTCTTCATCCCTTTACCAATTTTAGCTGCTCATCTGTGGGTCATCTTTAAGCTCAGTGACGTGTTTCTTGAGGTTTAGAGTCTGGAAATAAATCAGATTTCTACATCGTCTTGCTAATAGTAGTCATGTGGCTGCTGTGAGAGCACCTTGCCATGGGCTCCTGTGCAGAAAGGGTCACCTCCAGTCCTTTCTGAGCCTGCACATTAGATAAGGAGAGGAAAGGGAGGCAAGAGAGGGTGAGTCCCTGTCCAGGGTCACTCGTAAGTGTCTGAGCTGGGGTGTGAACTCAGGTTCGTCTAGTCCCAGAGAGCCGTGCTTCTCACCGCTGTGCTATGGTGCTGCCAGTTTTCTGGTATTTACGAAGGTCCTCTCACTGAGATCTACCTGTCAAACTGTCTTAAGTTTGATGTAGTGTACGTATGCTCTGTGGCTGTCTCTGATCGTCGCCCTACTGGAGACAGAACAAGTAAAGAGCAGGGCAGCAGTGACACGCACACTGGTTCTGAAGATTTGCTGAGGCGAGGAGAGCCTAGGGAAGATAGATGAGAGAAGTTCTTTCATGTTTTTGTTAATTCATACCGTGTCTGACAGGATGGAACGAATTCTTTTAGATGTAAAAATCTCAGCCTTTGCATAATATATGATTTTTGATCAAAATTTAAATTTAGAAGTATCAACTGAGTATGTGATTCATCATATTTTTCCAACAGATAAAGAGTTCTATTTGTCTTTTACGAGGGAAAATCTATGATGCTCTGGATAACCGAACCCTAGCGACCTACAGCTATAAAGAAGCTTTGAAGCTCGATGTCTACTGTTTTGAAGCATTTGATCTTTTAACGTCACATCACATGTTGACAGCCCAAGAAGGTTTGGAAACTCAGGTGTTTTATGTTTAGCACAATTAATATTGTTTGGATTGTTTATTTCTCTGAAGTCTGTGGAATCAAGAGCAGGCTATCTGCAGGTTTAAACAGACCTGTTAACTTCCTTAATGTCTTCGTGCGTGAGGCACATTGCAAAGTATGCTATGCGCAGTGCCTCTTGCTGTCGGAGTCTTGAGGGACTGATGTGATGAGGCCATCTTTCTGAGAATTGATGTGAGGTAGCATAAACCAAGATTTCATATCTGATTCAGTGACTCTCGACCTGCCTACACTTGTAATCCCTGAGGAGCTTTAAAAACATTGTGCAGGTCCCAACTCCAGACCAGTTGAATCAGCGTCTCTGGTGGTGGAGCTCTGGTGTCACATGGTTTAAAGCTCCCGGATGATCCTCAGGTACAAGAAGGGCCAAGAACTCTTGACCTAGCTTGTCGGCAGTGATATGAGGTTGATAAGCGAGAGAAGCAGAGAGAAAATGGGGATGTTGTGTTAAAGGGATTCAAATGCATTTTAGCCTAGTTCAGTGGTTCTCACCCAGGGTGATTTTGCCCCCCAGGGGACATTTTTGATTGTCGCTTGGGGATGGAGGGCGGGAGGTTCTACTAGCATCTAGTGGGCAGTGGCCCGACATCCTGCAAACGTCCTGCGGTGCGTAGGACAGGCAACAACAGGGCACTGTCCACACAGGTGTCACTGGTGCTGGGCTGGGAAGCTGGTCTGGTGGTTCTCGAGTTGGGGGGTAAACAGCGTCCCCTGCAGGCTCCCTGGCACAGCCCCCCGGTGGTTCCCATCACCGGGGTCTGGAACCACTGTCTTAGTTTTCTCTAGTACATTTTGATCTTGTTCCTTTCTGTTTTGAGTTTGATTTACTTAGACCAAGAAATATAGAAGAATGTTTTTTGCTGCTGATTTTTTTTCCTCCATAAATATTGAGGACATTCTTTTTTTCTCAACATTTTTAAGAAAAAGAACTTCTTGAGTCACTACCTCTTAGCAAGCTCTGTACTGAGGAACAGGAATTGCTACGTTTTCTATTTGAGAACAAATTAAAGAAGGTAAGTAAAAATAGAAAGTATTCGCCTTATGTGAATATCTTATTTCTTTCATTAAGTTTGGCCTCTATTCTTTTACTAGTTAAATTTTCAAAAGTGAATTTTTATTAATTTAGCCCATTTGCAAGAATAGATTTAGATTATTTAAAATATGTGATATGATTCCTAAAACAGCTTCCAAAAACATCTGTCTCCCTCCCAGGGACTCCTTTTACTAAGAGATTGAATTGTCAGATAAATGGAATGATGTTGCATGAAAATGAGCATTTTTTTCTGATGCTTCCTGAACTTTGTAAAATACTTACTACTGTGGAATTCTGTGATAGAATTGAGAAGAGAATTGAACTTATTGAGAGGAGGACTGATGAGACTTGAAGTTGAAAGTTCCCAGAGGCTCACACATGTCCTTGTGTAAATCTTGAAACACTTGGGCCCATCGAGTTTGCCTTTTGCCGTGACGCTGCTCATTGAGTGTGTTTGCATTTGTCTGTTTCAGTATAATAAGCCTAGTGAAACTGTCATCCCTCAGTCTGCAGATGGTTTGCAGGAGAATCTGGATGTGGTCGTGTCTTTAGCTGAAAGGCATTATTATAACTGTGATTTTAAAATGTGCTACAAACTTACTTCTGTGTAAGTATATCCACTCACTTTTGTGTAGAAACAGAGTTCAGTCCATTTTACTTAAGAAATGCATTGAACGTGCTTTCTGAGTAATCTCTAACTGATGGTAATTTAAGTTGTCTTTACCATTTGCAGAATACCAAAGGGAGTGCTATCTTAAAAAAGCAATTTATAGGTACAGATTTATGCACATTTATAGGTTTATTCCAGTAACTTGGGGATATACATGTCCCTCCTCACAGTCTTTGATAATTTCAAGTTTGGAAATACTATTCTGGCACATAATTTTATAAAATCCATTCTTTGTTAAAGTAGAGACTAATAAAACCCTGTAGATACTGGGTGCTCAGTCAAGCTCACCAACTAGCCAAGCCGTTTCCTCCCACACTAGTTTCCCAGTGTACATAGTTCCAGCTTGTCCATTAGCCAAATTATGTAACTATTTTTAACGTATCTTTGGGGTTGCTTAAAATCCTTAAATTCACAAAGATTTTTTTTTTTAAATAGAAGATTAGGATTTAGTTCTTTTTTTTTTCCTCTCTTTTTTTTTTTTGAGGAAGATTAGCCCTGAGCTAACTATTGCCAGTCCTCCTCCTTTTACTGAGGAAGCCTGGCCCTGAGCTAACATCCGTACCTGTGCCCATCTTCCTCTACTTATATGTGGGACGCCTACCACAGCATGGCGTGCCAAGCGGTACCATGTCCACACCTGGGATCCAAACCGGTGAACCCCGGGCCGCTGAGAAGCGGAACATGTGAACTTAACCGCTGCGCCAGTGGGCCGGCCCCTTATTCACAAAAATTTTAATTGACAAATACTTGTGGTCTGTTTAATATTTTATATTGTTTTTGATGTTTCTAAATAATTAGACTCCCTGTTTGATGTGTTACAGTTCTACTGATTTAAAGTAAATGTATGTGATCATTTTTATTCCTTCTAAATAAACCAGAATTTTCCCTTTCACTTGAACCTAATCATTGCCTTAACTGAACCAACCTGAAGATAATGGAGTTAAAAAAGTATTATAACCCACAGTCTTGTACATCGTGTTGTAATGACTTTAAACGTAGCTAATTATGATGAGCGCTGTTACATACTGTGTCTGGGGTAGTAATGTGTTGCTTTAACTTTCAGAGTAATGGAAAAAGATCCTTTCCATGCAAATTGTTTACCTGTACATATAGGGACACTTGTGGAGCTGAATAAAGCAAATGGTAAGAATTTTTTTTAATTAAAATAATAATTTTTAAGACAAAAAAATCTTCTGTAACCCTTGAAATTTTGTCTCATGAGTCCTGGATAGTTGAGATTGCAGGTAACGGCATGATGGAGTTCTATAATAAAAGTAACAGCTAGGGGAAGAGATGCTTTTCAAAGTGACCAACAGTTATTCTGTTATCCCAACAGAACACTCTACTTCTTGTTTTCCGTTTTTTAAAGATCGGCCCTGAGCTCACATCTGTTGCCAATCTTCCTCTTTTTTTTTCTTCTCCCCAAAGCCCCCCAGTACATAGTTGTACATTCTAGTTGTAGGTCCTTCTAGTTCTTCCGTGTGGGACGCCACCTCAGCATGGCCTGACGAGGGGTGCTGGGTCCACACACAGGATCTGAACCGGCGAAACCCTGGGCTGCTGAAGCGGAGCGCACGAACTCAACCACTCAGCTACGGGGCCGGCCCCAGAGCACTCTACTTCTTTATCCCTTTTCCTTTTCTCAAGTATAATTTGTGGTTTTGATATGTTAGCTTTAGAGTGTTGGGTGGCAGGTTTGCCTTTTTTGTGTGTTTGTAAAATTCTCAAGAAAACTGATAAGGCAAGAGTCAGTGACTGTTTAGAAATTGGAAGGGGGCAAAGTTTTGGCTCGTGTTTTCCATATTTTAACATCTCAGAAACGTTACGTGTGTTTGGACTGTATTCGCCCTTAAATCTTTTAAACAACAGTGAGCTCTGTCGAGAGGAGAACATCCAACTGCACCTCCTGCTCAGCGTATGGTCTGTGGACCAGCAGCCTTGCGCCTCCTGGAAGCTTGTCATGTGCAGTGCGTACTTGCTGGCTGCCTGGTCTCAGGAATCCGAGTCTGCACCCAGGAGTCGTCATCCTGACGTGCTAGGACTTACACGTTGCTCAAGAGGAAATCATCTTGCTGATTTGATAAACTTAGGTGTTTGGTCAACCGTATCGGTTGTGGTTAAGATTGTCCATAACAGGCCCATCGAGCAAGCGGCATGGGTTTGTAAGATAGATGAAGCTCTTTGACATAACCTCTTAAGCACGTCAAGTGCTTTATCATGTGCCGTTTGTCCAGTCTTCCAGTCACTCAGCGGACACTCAGTGCCCACTTATGGATCTGGCACAGGGTTAGGAGTTGGGGGGATTGGGTTTGAATGAAGCAGCTGTGGTATCTGCCCTGTGGAATTTCTGTATTTCATTAGGTAAATGGATTTTGTATCTAGAAAGAAAGAAAAGTATGAAATTGTTGCTGTGAAAACACAATTTATATGATTGTGAAGAGTTGTAACTGGAGGGAAGTCGTATCTTCAAATTGATTTGATATGAGTAATTTTATTCTTTTTTTCTTTTTCCCTAATGTAGAACTTTTCTATCTCTCTCATAAATTGGTGGATTTATATCCTAGTAATCCTGTAAGTAAATATAATCCTTTTTATCTTACACAAATAAAATACTTAGCTAGTGTATTTGAGTCCAAGCAAATCGTGTTTTATTTTAAGGTGTTGGAGCAGAATCTCCTGGTGCTTGTGATAATTAGAAGCAGCATTAACTTTTTCATTCTATGGAGGTATTTTTTTGGTATACCAAAACAACTTGAAACAAAAATCTTTATTCTTTTCTGATTATAGAAATTATATATGCTTATTATTTAAAAATGCTTAGAAAAGAAGAGAAAAATAAAGAATTGAAAGTGCAAGTTGCCCTCCCACCTCTCATAAGGAAAGCTGATAGCTGCTTGGTAGCTTTCTCACATCTCTAAGACGATTTACTGAATTTTGCACTGATTGAATCTTTGAATCTTCCAAGCTACCGTGAATCAGAATTAAGACCTAGAAATTGAAAATGGAATCAGGAACTGTGTCCTTAAAGACAAAAGTCTGGAATCAGGGTCTAAGTCTCAGACAAAAATCTGCTTACTAGACCAGTGTGGAAATAATTTATAAAGAGGCAAAACCAGCGCAAGAGAGATCAGCTGATGAAGTGGAACCTGGTGGAACCAGGGTTGAGCCAGGGGCCCAGTGCAGGTGGGAGGCCAGACCGAGGCTGGCTTTTGAACCAGCAGGTGTTCAGGAGCCTCCCCTTGAGTCAGAAGCTGCAGGGGGTGATGGAGGGCACCCTGGGAGGAGCTGTGGGGACTGTCCTCTTTCATCCAGGACCCTTAAGAGACAGGCTGTGCCCGAGAAGTTTCTAATGTGAGCTAGAATACACAGAATATGTGATGGGACTTCTAGTCCCCCTCTGGCTTAATTTGTTAGAGATTTCTAATTCCAGTTGACTTCTTTGGTCATGGTGAATTTTGAACTTTGTAGGTATCTTGGTTTGCAGTGGGATGCTATTATCTCATGGTTGGTCATAAAAATGAACATGCCAGAAGATATCTCAGGTATGAATTATCGTCTTCCTCTCTCTGTAGTGAATCTGTAGGAGGTGACTTGCTGCTTCTGCTTTAATGCAGTAACAAGTGGTTGAAAGTACTCTGAAAGCAGTGTGAAAGAGTAGACACCATCTGCAGATTCAGTTCAGTTCCGTCAGTTGTGTGCCTTGCTCTTTATAAGATGTCATGAGGGGAGATGAAAGTTATCAGTGGTGTAGATAGACCTTGTTCCCAGGGAACTTATAATGTATTTAAATTTTTATTGTAAAGGAGAATAAATATGAACAATAGAGAATAATGTACTTTGAAAGGTTCTGTTTTTCATTTACAGAGATGCTACTAACCTTTTACTTTTAGGACTTCTTATATTAATAGTGTGAAATTAAGTGAAATTTTACATGGGTTAGGTACCAAATGTGACTGTAAAGCAGAATTCTTGGGACAGTGACCTGGTTTATATTAAGGATCTGCTGTGGTTTGAGCTTAAGGAGCTCCATGCAGCCAAAGCAAGTTACTTAACCAGTTTTACTCAATTATTCAAGTATAGAAAAATGTCTAGTATATGGAGAATTAATTACTGAAGGTTTAAAATATAATCATGATTTTGACTTCCTCCATGTGAACAAAATAGAAAATAGTTCTAAGGGAAAGCACATAAAGTTTGGACACAGACTTGAATTCTAATCCATGTTCTGCCACTTACTAGCTCTAATCCTTGGGAAAGTTTATCTCTGACCCTCTTTTTTTTCTTCTCTAAAATGGGAATGATGTGATACTTGTATCCCAGGATTGCTAGGAAAATTGATCAGATGACACGAAAGGATCTTGCACTCGGAAGAAAATAGGGCGTGCTCTCTGGTTAGTTGAGTATTAAGCATTTTAGAAAAACTTGTGTGCTTTTTCCTGGAGTGGGAAGATGATTTGTGTTGTAATAGCTCCTCTGAGTTGTGCTTCTTTGATTTAGTGTGCTTATACAGTGATGGACTCTACCTGAAACAGGGACTATTGGGGTAAAAAAAACTTAGAAAATAAAATGCTAGGAAGTGGGAATCTCACCATTTGTATTTTCCATGTTTTGTGATATGTTCTCTTTATTCCTTGTTGGGGTCACCACTGTGTCCACTGATTTAAGACTGTTGGTGACAGTGTAGCCCAGTCCCTGGAGCCAGGGTGAACCATCCGTAGGACGTCACTTAATCTCTCCAGCCTCAGTGTACTTATCTCTAGAATATAAGTAATATTTTATCGTGGGAGTTAACTAGGGTTAGGTGATACGTGTAAGGATCTAACGCGTGCCTGGCACACAACGGTCCCTCATTAAGCGGCGGCTGCTACCACCCTTTACTAGGTTGTAAATTGAGGCTCCTGGATTAAGTAACATTCGTAAATTCTATACACAATGCTACTTGGTTCGACTATGGTACGTAACAAGTTGTGGAACTCCTAAAATTTCTTAAAATTTTGCTTGTGCTGCTAAACATTCTTTTATTTCAAGTGAATTAGCACAAATGTTACATTAGTATTTAATATGTTGACAGCTCATGTATTTACTTAAGTCTAATGTTCTTGAAGCCATCAGCTTACATAAAATTTACTTAACAACTTAATAAATATTATATTACTTGAATGAAATCTTCTGTTTTAGCAAAGCTACGACTCTTGAGAAGACCTACGGGCCCGCGTGGATCGCGTATGGGCACTCGTTCGCGGTGGAGAGCGAGCACGACCAGGCAATGGCTGCGTACTTCACAGCGGCACAGCTGATGAAAGGGTGCGGTGGAGCGGATGGCGTCAGCTCCATGGAGGGCTGTTTGTGCCAACAAAATGGAATTTCTCTTATTACTGTCACCGCCCTTCGGTTGCTAAACAAAAATATCTTACTTGCACCTTGTTAGTAGCTTGTGGTAGTGAAATAACTATGGAAGTTAAGGGGGAAAGAAGCTGGTGCAGTGATTTCCCAGCACTTGATCATACCCAGCCCAGAAGGACACAAGGAATCAGGCCAGGAACAGATAAGGATGGAAGTTGTGTTTCACGTGCTTGTGCAAGACTGAAAGTATTCTTGAGCAAAAGTATTTATAGTGTGTTTATGTCCAAAAGGTATTTGATGTGGCTTAGTGGTAGTGCAGGACTGTATTTGCCAGTGTTCTAGATTTATATCAATAGTGAATGTATTGATATTAACTGATGGAAGTGGAGTATGTTACTTTGGGGAATGGAGTGTTGTTGCCAATCCTGTGACTCTTTGGGCTTGCTGTTGCTTACGCCTTGCAGTGTTCTTCGTTGGGCCGTCTCCCCCTCTGGAGAGATAGGGGGAGTGCGATAGTTCAGAGGCTGATCTGGAGACAGACTGCCTGATGATCTTGGCAAATTATGTGCCCTCTTGAAAAATAGGAATAACAGTACTCCTTCTGGGCTTATTGTGAGGAGTCATTGAGATAAAAACAATTAAAGGCTTTGAACAGTATCTGACAGAAAACACTTAATAAAAGTCAGCACCTTAATATGTCTGCTTGTGGTATTCAGGAGTGAGATTGATTTATCTGTATTCAGTTTCGTCTCGCTGGTTTGATTGACCTTTTCAGACTCTGAGAGTCATTTTGCAACCCGTTGTGCATTTGAAGTATTCATGATCCCCAGCTTTTTTAGTTATATTAAGTTTGGTATGTGTGACTTTTGTATCTGCCTAGTCATCCACAAAAATGTTGTAAAGGTCCTAGCTCCTTGTGTTATTAGTCATCTCAGCTGCCATAACAAAACACCATAGACTAGGTGATTAAACAGCAGAAGTTCATTTCCTCCTGGCTCTGGGGGCTGGGAAGTCTCACGTCAAGGTGCTGGCCATTTGGTTCCTGGTGAGAGCCTTTCCTGATGTGCAGACGGCAGCCTCCCCGTGTCCTCACGTGGCGGAGCGAGCGCTGGTCTTCTCCCAGAAGGGCCCCAGCCAGGTGATCGCTTTCAGCCTTCATCATTTCCTCACAGGCCCTCTCCAAAAACGGCCACAGGGGGTTGGGGCTTAACATGAATCTGGGGGCACACATGTTCGGTCGATAACACTACATGTTACTGGCAATGATCCTCCAGGTTAAAATTGTTTAACCAGTTACTGATCCACCTGAACGGCCTCATACCTGTCTAGGTTGCTCCATCGTGTTCACCCACGTGTGTGAGGCAGCTTCTGAAGCTTGGCTCCAGTGTCTGCATGTACCCCAAGTCTATCAGTCTGAGAAGTTGGCAAAAAGAATCTCGATAACTTACTGTGAGGTGTTTCTTGGGAGCACATACTAGGGTCTGCTAATTTTTTTGTGCTCTTCTGGGTCCTCACAAACCCAGATAGTTATTACTAGTTATTAGTTAGTTCCCAGCTAAGCATCACAACCAATGATAATTAATGATGTGATTAATACCTTCGTTTCCTAATCTAACAAACTTTATCTCATTTTCAATTCATCAAGGTAAGGTAAGCGTTATTTTTCTCTCAATTTCACTTTCCCATCAGAACAGCTTTGCCTTCTCTTGACGTGCCGTGTGTTTGGGTAAATGTTTGAAATTACATAACGATTTTAGAATTTCCTTTATGATTTCTTCTTTGAGTCGGTTATTTAAGAGTGTGTTGTTTAATTTCCAAATGTTTGTGAATTTCCCACATTTCCTTCTGTTACGATTTCTAATTAATTCCGTTGTGGTTGGAGAACATGCTTTGTGTGATTTCAGTCCTTTTAAATTTGCTGAGGCCTGTTTTATGACCTGACATGATCTGTCCTAGAGGCTGTTTCAGGGGCGCTTGAGAGCGCTGCTCTTGTTGGGTGCAGTGTTCTGTACCTGTCCCTTAGTCCAGTTCTGTTAGGGTGTTGTTCATATCTTCTGTTGCCTTGTTGGTCTTTTGCCTAGTTATTCTGTTCATTATTGCAAGTGGAGTATTAAAGTCTCTAGCTATTCTAGTTGAATGGTCTATTTGTCTCTCCAATTCTGGCAGGTTTTGCTCATGTGTTGAGTCTCTGTTGTTAGGGCTTGATGGATCGATTATTTTATCCTTATCACATGTCCTTCGTGGTCTCTGGTAACAGATTTTGTCTTGAGTCGGTTTTGTCTGATGTTAGTATAGTCATGCCAGCTCCTTTGTTACTGTCTGCACGGTGTGTCTGCCGTCCTTTTACTTTCAACTTGTTCGTGTCTTTAAATCTGAAGTATATCTCTTGTAGACAACATATAGTTGGATCGTGGTTTTATTACCCTTTCTGCCAATTTCTTCCCTTTTGGCAGAGTTTTATCCATTTATGTGTAATGTAAATACTGATACAGTAGGATTTATTTTAGCCATTTTGCTCTGTTTTTTAATATGTCTCAAGTGTTTTTTGTTCTTCTATTCCTTGTTACTGCCTTCTTTTGCATGAGGTATTTTGTAATGTACTGTTTTAATTTCCTGGTTTTTCCTACAGTATTTTTCTCATGGTGTGTGGAGTTTCCCTTCCCCTGGGCACATTGCCCTTCCAGCCCCTGATGTGCTCACCAGCCTGAAAACTCTCCAGATCTTGTTGTTCAGGAGCTTTTGTGGAGCTCAATCTCCAGCCCTCCACTTCCCAGGAGGGCAGTGATGAGACGGAGAGTCCCAGCCCTCTGGTCACTAGGTCTTTCTGGTGACCAGCCCCATCCTGACCAGCCCCAACTGAGGCCCTAAGTTACCTCCGTGAGCATAAATGCAGGTGTGATCAAAGGGGGCTCATTATAAATAACAAAAAGATGCTCCTGTCACTCAGGAAACCGCACAGGCTGCAGGACAACCCAGGATGAAGACCAAATAGATTTCTTTCTTTACCACACCAACTTAATTTGATAGTATACAAAAAATGTACTCTACCCTGGCTCTGTTCTCCCACCTCCTTTGTGCTAGTTTTGTCATGCAGATTACGTTTTATACATGGTAAGCTCATCAACAGATTTATGATTTATTGCGTCAGTTGTCTTTTAAATCAGAGGAAAAGAGTTGCAAACAAAGATATACTGTCTTATATTTATGTGTGTGGTTACTTTTACTAAACTCTTTACTTTTTGTGTGGATTTGAGTTACTGTCTAGTGCCTTTCATTTCAGCCTGAGGGACTCCCTTTAGAAGTTCTTGTTGGCAGGTCGGCTAGCTGCGAATTCTCTGTTATACACTGTTATAATTGTTACTGCATGTAATTTTGTTTTTCAAAGAAGCTTTGAGGAGAGCCAGTATAATTTATAGCATTTATTGTTTTAGCCTTCTCATTTGCCATTTCTGGTTCTCTTCATTTGTTCCTGTGGATTTAAGGTACTATCTGGTGTCTTCCTTCCTATGCTACAGCTTTGCCCTCACCCATCCTGTGCTGTTATTGGTAAGCATTGCACTTCTGTATATGACAGGCCCAGGAATACAGTTATATGCATACTGTTTCATACAGTTGCTTTTTATGTCCGTTAGAGAAGAATAAGTATACGTTTGTGCCTTCTTTTATAATTACATAATCACCTTTACTGGTATTCTTTATTTTTTCTTGTGCATTTGACTTACTGTCTCGAGTCATTTCCTTTCAGCCTGAAGCTCCTTTAGTATTTCTTATAAGGCAAGCCTGCACCAACATTTCTTAGTTTTCATTTCCCTGGGAAAGTCTTAATTTCACCTTCATTTTCAAAGAATAGTTTGCTGGATATAAAATTCTTGGTTGGTGTTCTTTTCTTTCAGCACTGTGAGTGTCATCCATCTACCTTCTTGGCCTCCAGGTGTTTGGTTAGAAGTTGGGTGTGTATCTTATTGGGGATCTCTTGTACGTTATTAGTTGTATTTTCTTACTTAAAGATTCTCTTTTTTTGTTTTTCAGTGGTTGGACTATGGCTTGTCTAGATGTGGATCTCTTGAAGTTTAGCCTCAGGTTTTTTGAGCTTTGGGATGTTTTTGGCCAGCATGTTCTTTTGTTTCAAATGTCCCTTCTGCCCCCTACTTGCTCCCTCTGCCTTCTGGGCTCTCCTTACGAGTATGCTGGAGTGCTTGGTGTGTCCACAGGTCTTTCAGGCTCTGTTTGCTTTTCTTCGTTCTTTTCTCTCTCACTTCTGCAGACTGAATAATCTCAGTTGACCCGTCTTCAAGTTCACTGATGTTTCCGCCTGTTCAAACTGCTGTTGAACCTTTCTAGTGAATTTTTTATTATTTTGCTTTTTGACTCCAGACCTTCTGTTTGGTTCTTTGTTACAATTTTTATGTCTTTGTTGTTGTTTGTTTGGTTAGACATTGTTCTCATACTTTGGTTTTGTGGACATGATTCCCTTTAGTTGGTTGAATATTTAACGTGTTTGTCTGGTAAGTCCAGCTTTGGGTCTTCGTCCGGGATAGTTTCTGTAGACTGCTTTCCCCCTGTCTCTCTTGCCATACTTTCCCGTTTCTTTACATGTCTCTTTATTTTTTGATACTGGACATTTAAAGTAATATAATGTGGGATTTCTGGAAATCAGATTTACCCAATCCCACCTCAGGGTTTGCTGTTGTTGCTGTTTGTTATGACTTTGCTGGACTAATTGTGTACTGTCTCTGTCCTTTGTCATCTGAGGCCACTGAGGCCTCTGCTCAGTTGGCTTAGTGGTTTCCTTTTATGTCTCAAACCAGTAAGTCTTCCCCTCTTTTTGGAAGGACCGTGCACCTCTAGTAGGGCCTGCCTTTGGTGGGAGGGACCCTACACCTCTAGTGGCGCCTGCCTTCAGGTTCCTGTAGTTGACAGCTGTGTTAGTCTTCACTTCCTGCTTGTTCTGGGCCTCAGGTCAGCCAGGGGTGAGAGATTAGGGCCTTCTCTGGTCTTTCCTGTGCACGCACACAGCTCTGTACATGTGCACGGCCTTCTGGATCCCCAGGAATTTGGGAGCTCTTCAAAGCCCCCTGTGGACGTCTTATCACCCAGATTTCCTTTTAAGTTTTTGGCCAGCCTCTTGTTTGCCTGGACTGGTATAGCTGCCTCAGGTTAATGTTAAATAGTTACTGCTGATTGTTTTCAATGAATGCCCTGGGGATAGATCTTTTCTCACCCGGTGGTCTCAGTCAGGTCAAATAAAGACAGGCTGTGAGTGGGACTTTTCCAGAGAGCTGCCAGATGGGTCAAATAGTGACAGTTCTCTTTGGGGTGTTTCAGGAGCTCCAGACTCATTCTATTGTCTCCAGTGGCTGCTAGGCTGCTGGTTTTCTAGGCTACTGTGGAACTGGGAAAAGGGAGATGGGAATAGGACAAGTTAAAACATCACAAAGTTTGCGGTTCTTACTGAGACTTGGCTGTTTTCTAGAGTAAACACTCCTCAGATTGTTGTAAGCCTTTGGTTAACTTCCAAAATTCTGAAAGTTTATTTTGACAACTTTTGGCAGTGTTCTTGTTGCTCTTATGGAGGAGTAGATTTTTGGAGGTCCTTACCTTGCCATGTCAGAAGTTCTTCCTCCAGGTAAATACGTGTAGAGGGTTCTTCATGGCCCTTCTGTAGATGGTAGACTCTTAACTTGAGTCGTGATCTACATTAGAACCAATGCGCATACCAACAGTCAGTATTTATTGATGTTCTCAGATCCATCCTTCTTCAGTACTTGCTCTGTGCCTAGAACTCTTTATAGGTATGAAAATAGAATATGCATGACATAGTTCAGAAGTCTTTGGTGTAGAACTGATAATAACTGATACACTGGGAGTCCATACAGGGATTGCCATTTGGGTTAGAAAGTCAGAAGCAGCTGTGTAAAGGGAAGTGGGATTTGAACACAGTCATGATGCATTAATGTGCTGAGCTGATAAAGGAGAAGGAGAAAGACAGTCTAGGCTGGGGCTAGAGGAGGGCAGGCAGCAGAGACACGCCCTTCTGCTTCAGAGGGTTTTGTGTTTGTTTTTCTGCTGTAGAATAATGAAAAATAAAAGTGACTAGGTTGCTGATAGATTCTAGAAGTGGCAGCTGATTAGTCTAAAAATCATTAGACGTTCACTAAATGAAGTGTTAGGGAAAAAGTAAACACTGTTTTTGGCTATGTTTGAATTATTTTGCAGACAAGATTTGAAGTTGATAAACTTTATAATTCAGCAGGAATTAATTTTTCGTGTTGAATATATGAAATTTTCCAATATTTTTAGGTGCCATTTGCCAATGCTCTATATCGGATTAGAATACGGATTGACCAATAACTCAAAATTGGCTGAAAGATTCTTTGGCCAAGCTCTAAGTGTTGCACCAGAAGACCCTTTTGTTATGCACGAGGTTGGAGTGGTTGCGTTTCAAAATGGAGAGTAAGTACCACGAGGCAACACCCATTCAATGTCCTTTTTGTAAACAGAGTGAAACCTCAGTCGCTAGAGCATAACATGTCCGAGTGACTCTCCAGGTGATTTTTATTTTTAAACGTGTACATTTTAGGAGAAGGAGGTGGACATTTAAGAAATAAAACAGAAAGTGTTATATTGGATTTCTTTAAAAACGCCGAACCCAGATGCTGGTCCCCTCAGATCTGGGCTTCCACAGGCTCTTAGTTCCAAGGCTGGGCATTGCTGCCAGCTCTGCCAAGTCACTGAGCCCCTCAGGAGGCACTTCAGAATCCTTAGTCATCTCCTTGTTGATTAGGAGTTGGATTCATACAGTTGAGAGGGATTTTCCACAATTTTGAAACAAAAATGTTTTCTGTTTAGTTGCCAGTTAATCCAAAAATTAAAATAATTAAATGGCCCAATCTCTGAGCTTCCTGGTCAATTGAGGCATTACTCCAGCCTTGGACATTTATAGAATAAGTAATTCACTGTCGTACTCAAAGAGAAAAATATCTAGAGTCCTTTGCACTAATTATACATAAACTTAAAAACAGTAAATTAGTACTACTGTAGTGCTCTAAAAATTGGGTTATCTAGTATTTATAAAAGAAAGTTTGGGGCTTTTTTATAATGTGTAGTAATAATTTTAGTATACTGTCAATCTATTCGTAACCAAGGGTCGGCCCCTAGGTGCTCTCATGTAGGCAGACGTGTGTGCTCCCAGCTGAGGTCAGCAAGGTGATGCTCTGCCTTCTTGTTTCCATTCTCACACTGTAAACAAGTGTGCTTTTTGCAGTCTATTTTTTGCCACATTTTTCACATTTTTGTGCTTTTTGTTGGCGATTTTGCTGTTTAAGATGGTCCCAAAGCATAGTGCTGAAATGCTGTCTCGTGCTCCCAAGCACAGGAAGGCCACGATGTGCTTGGAGAAAGTACACGTGTTGGGGGGCTTTGCTGAGGCCAGGGTTGTGTGATGTTGGCCGTGAGTTCAGCGTTAATGAGTCAACAGCGTTGTTGGACAAGCTGTCATTAAACAGAAGCGCATATAGGACAGGTTTATGCTGAACACTTGGTGAAGTGTGACCACGGGTTTGTAGGAAGCTGAGCCTGTGCTTCTGCTGGGAGTGGTGGTTAGCATTCACCACAGCAGTGTCCACAGTGGCTGCGTCGAGCGCCATCCCGAGGAGAGAGCCGCTGTCTCCTGGAGGCACTGCCATGAGGCTAACCACTCATCTGACATGAATCTGAGTTTCAGTAAACTCTTTACAGAAGCCGACCTCATTTATTTCACTGTTACTAGAAAGAGACGTTAACATTTTTGCTTAAAGTGTTTATACTTGCTAATTTTGAATAACCTGCAACCTTTTTTCCTTCTATTTTAGATGGAAAACAGCAGAAAAATGGTTTCTCGATGCTTTGGAAAAAATTAAAGCAATTGGGAATGAGGTATTCTTTGTAGTATCTATAAATAGACACATACTCCTGAGTGTTTTTACTTTGAATGAGAGAAATAGCATAGACGAACAGTCATCTTGCCTGGAAGATAATAGCCTGATATTTGTCATAATGAATGTCTGTCAGTTTTTGAATGGTCAGGCAGTCAGCTGTTGTACTACATGGCACAAATGAGTTTGTTTCTAAGGGGAGACCAGTGTCTGCTGTTTGCTTAAGAGACTCTGGTTTTGGTGTGTGGGAGCAGTCAGAGTATATTTGATGATTATTTGATGCAGGGAATATGTGATGGTTAGTGGAAACTGTTGGGAACTGTAGCAGGTAACAGAGTATGTCCTTCTCTGGAACTTAAAAGAGCCTCATCTTTGATTAATGGGTAAATAAGTAGTGGATCCCACTTCTGCAGGAACAGGGCTAGATGTCATTCCAGTTCAGACCTGTCATTACTCTTCCTTACCTTGTACTTAGTATGTATGTGGATCTTTCAGTGTTGGAAATGTTTAGCTAGGTTCTGTTGTATGAGAGATGTACTCCATGAATTTGTGCTCTACGTGGATGTGTATACATTGGTATTATTTTAAAATAATGACAATTTTAGATACTGTAAACTTCTGTAGGTAAGGATTTGCATTTTGCTGCCCTTCTGGTTCCTGATTCATTTTATTCATAGCTATATTTGGTTTAGTCTGTTTGATCGTCACTTTCCAGCTTCATTCTCTTCCTGTGTGGGCACACTGGCCATGGCCCACATCTTCCTTGGCTGCTAGTTCCTCTTTACTGAGACTCACACAGCTCCCTTGGGGTCCCTGTCAGGTGGCAGTCTGCCTGTCCCCATAGACCCAGCTGTGTTTATTTTGGTCTCTTCTTTGTCATATGAACTTAAAACACTGTATTTCTGTGTGTTTGCACATATATGTTTGTAAAGCAGGTTCTTCCACAGCTCACTCTTGGGTGGTCTGGATAACATGTGTTTTTGTCAATATAGGGTTGCCACTTAGCACTTTGATAATTTTCAAAGAATTGAATACCTTAGGACTTTTCTACTCAACTTAGACCAGCTGTACCAGCATCATCTGGGAGCTCATTAGAAGTGCAGAATCTCAGATTTACTGAATCAAAATTGCAGTTTTAGCAAGATCTGCAGGTGATTCCCATGCACAGAAAAGTTTGAGACATACTGTCTTAAACCACACTCGAATTGAGACGATCTTCCTTGATGACAAGGCACTTTGGAGTCTTACAGAAATTTAAAGTAATGGTTTTAAGTACAAAAGCACAATACTATTAAAACTGTCAAAATGCCCATTAAAGAGTTATATGAAGAGGAGGGATATGGTTTAACTTTAGTTGTAAACTGCAGCAAATGTCAGAATAGCCACAGGAGAGCAGTCATGCGTAAGAGTCGTAAAGGATTTGTTTTCATTCACGTGGGTTGTGCCTCCTGGAGCCCCACTCAGAGTGGAGAGTAGAGATTGTGCTCGGGTCTGTTTATTCAGTTCAGACTTATTTAATGCGTGTCGACTGTGTCCTGAGCTCTGAGCTAGGCGTTGGCAGGCAACAGGGAACTGGTTGGTATTACCTGCCCTCAGGTCTGTTGGGGAATGCGGATAAGTGAATTGGCTGTAATAATACAGTGCACAAAAGGGGCAGTGCTTGAGGAAATAGAGGACCCACACCGGGCAGTTCACCCAGATTCGAGGGTGGTCAGGAAGGCCTTCTGGATACAATATCTTACACCTCGGTCCTAGATGAGCAGACGTTAGCAGGCAAATATGAGGAGAAGGGTGTTTCAGGTGTAGAGAATGGTGTGTACAGATTTCGAGCTGATTCAGTATGGCTTGGATTTTGAGTTCACAGAGAATGTCAAGAAATGGGGCCGGAGAGTTAAGAGTAGATCGTTAAGGACCTTGAAGAAGATGTTAGAGTTTGCACCTTATCCTGAGGTGGTGGGACAAGAGCACAGTCAGACTTGTACGACTGGGCGCAGACAAGGCTTGTTAATGGGGTTGGAGTTGTGCCGAGGAGGCTGATAAACAAGCCTTTGTGCTTTCTGGGGTCAGGGATGACACGGGTGCTGTGGACTGAGTGTCAGGGCACTCAGAGGTGTGTGAGTTTGGGGAGCTGGGATGGCAGGAGAGAGAGGAGAAGAGTTTGGCATGTGGCACATTGAATTTGAAGTGCTTGTGAGATTTCTAAGTGGAAATATTTAGTAGGCAGATGGAAAGCTCTGGGCTGGAGATACAAACTTTGAACAACTTCAGCACAGGTGGGCTCTTTAACAGAGCTGGCTGACAAAATAATAGTCCTCAGGCAGGCTTGTTGAGTAGGAAAGAAAGATGGAAAAACCAACAGACACTCTTGCCTAGTGCTGTGCAAACACCAGGAGAGAGCCCAGCTCACACAGATGTGTGAAATGATGCGACAGGCCAAGCTGAGAGGTGACGTGTGTAAATCACAGGCTTGATGTTGCTGTGTTTTAGGTGACAGTTGACAAATGGGAACCTTTGTTGAACAACTTGGGGCACGTCTGCAGAAAACTTAAGTAAGTGAAGTAGAGCATTTCCAGAATATTCTTTGTGACTAAAAGTTTACTTAATTTTGTGTAGCCTTTTCCATATTTTTGTTTTATGAGATCCTCTAGTTTTCTTGTACTTGGCTTCTGAGCTATAACAAGCATCAAAATAATTATTTTTTTATCTCTGCTGATACAGTTTTATTTTGGAAACTTTAGAAATTTTAGTAACTTTTCTTAGGTTATAAAAATGTTAGTGTTTAAAATTAGTTTAGAAGAATTAGGACAGTAGGATCTAATGAAAACCACATCTGTGTTCTAACTCACTGTTTTCCGCTAGATACCAGTTTTGTGCTGTGATAAACAGACAATGATTAAAAAATAAATTCTTTGGTTAAATAAGTTTGGGAAAGTCTAGGTTACTCAAAATTTAATAGGTTTTTCTATTTCAGGATTTCTTGGAGTCTTTATTGTGCATTATGAGCTGTAAATTTCCCAAACTTTATTGAGCGCAAGACCTTTTTTCCACAAAAGATTTTACAGGGCAGGTATTCAAGAGAGCTTTGGGAAGTGTGTTCTGCCTTAGGGCAGGACTCTACAGCCGCCCCTGCTGGGAGAGGTCTGTCTTCCTGTGAAGGAGGCCTTGCTATTGGTAGGGCACAGGCCCAGGAGTCAAGGATTAGGTTCGGTTGTAGTCTCCTGCCAAACATCGAAAGGACTACAGCTGATATCCCTGCAGGAGCCCCTCAGCCAGCTAGGTGAAAAGGCAGGAAATGCATTTCCGTATGAGGGGCACAGAGTGGCCGTGAGAGGCCATTCCAGACGAGGCTGTTACTCTGGTATAGGAGAGCGTTCCTGTGTTTTCAGACGACAAGAACTCCTTGTAGACGTAGGAGTTTAGTGCTTTCCCTGTGCCCACTGATTGTTTTCTCTCTTCCTGTTCTCCCCCTCCTCTCACAGAAAGTATGCCGAGGCGTTGGACTACCATCGCCAGGCACTGGTGTTGATTCCTCAGAACGCCTCCACCTATTCTGCCATAGGCTACATCCATAGTCTGATGGGCAACTTCGAAAACGCCGTGGACTATTTCCACACAGTATGTCTTTTGTTTGTACCTGACTTTAAAGCTGGTTAACATTTACCACCTCTTTTTTTTATTTTTGAAAAGATCTTTTCTGGGCAATGTTCGTTACTTTACCATTTTAAAATTCTCCAGGCGACCTTGTGTTTTATTCTTTTCTTTGCAGAAAAAAACACGTGCATGTTGTGCAATCCTCACCGAGGTAGAAACAAGTGGGAGACTTGTCCTAAGTGTGCACTGAGCCCCGCAGTGTCCAGGATTAGCATCATGTCCAGGCAGGGGCTTCAGAAGTTCCTCTCGCACAGTGAGAACTCTTTGGGAGCTCCACTTTTTCTATTTGTGACTTAAAATCACTTCCCTTAGGTCGCTTTAGTAGATGAACAAAACAGTCTGTGTTCAGCACAAGGAAAGAATCTCTCCTTAATCTGTGCATCTCATGTCAGCTCTAAGACACCATTAATAAGCAGGATGACCACACAGAAAGTATGCTGCCATTTAAACTTTAACATAGTTCTTTCCTATCACTTATTTTTTATGTACTCAGAAAAAGTACTCTTTTGGACGTATTAGGATATAAATTTTTATCAGGAATCACTCTAGTACCTACATGAAAAAGAAAATACAAGTGAAATAGTTAAGATATTCAGCTCTTCACATTCAGAGTTTGGTTCTTCTAAATCACTTTTGTACCAGGTGGTCAATATCCCTGTTTTCCCAAAATAGAGCCCTCGTGCCAACACCCACACCCCCTCTTGACCCAGGTTCCTCCCAGCTGAGGACATTGGCTTTGCCAATCTCGTCCTGCCAGACAGTGTCAACAGGAGGGTTTTAGGTGATGACCACAATTCATGTATCCTCTTGGAGTGTTCCTCATGCAGCTTGTGGTGCAGCGTGTGCTGTCACTGTGGCCACCAGGCCCATGCTGTCATACAGGACACCTTGTCATGGCTGCAGCCATGTGACAGCAGTGGTAAGAAGCCACCAGCTGTGAGACAGCCCAAGTTCAGAAGTGTTAGAATTTGAAAAATTGTGGGTCTTAGAATTGATGAAATAACATTATTTGGAGAAAGAGATACGGTCTGAGAGAGAGTGTGATATTTCCAAGATAAATTCGTGAGTGATGTATTCATGACTCATTTTCAAGGGTCAGTTAGAGATTTTCAGGTGAGGAGAGGTCCTGAAGGTGCCCTGTGACACCCAGAGTGTCGAGCTCATCAGGTGTGGGCCATGCAAGTGTCTGGTTTCATGGTCTTTCAAATGTGTGATTGAATCCTGTATAATTTACTGCTCTTGTGTGATGGAATTAATACAGAAGGTTCAGAGGCCTCTGTGTGGAGAGAGAGTTCTTAAGTCTTCTTGGGGGAGGGGATTCGAAACATAGACACAGAGGAGTGAGGGGCCTGCAGCTGCCTGCACACGCTCCAGCAGTCCTTACCCATGGCCATGCTCATTTGAACTGGGCCCTTCACAGCCTCCCTTACCCACCCTGGAGTCCTTGGAATATTTTGAATTGAATCCTGTGGGAATATTCTTAAACAAAGGAAAACGAAATATGTTTTTCTTGTAATAACGACATTGAATTTTTTCTGGCAGGCCCTTGGTCTTAGGCGAGATGACACATTTTCTGTTACAATGCTTGGTCATTGCATTGAGATGTACATTGGTGATTCTGAAGCTTATATTGGTAAGATTATTATTATTGATATTATATTCCATGTTTTAGATTGCTGTATATCTCTGTTTAGGTTTCTCAGATTCTCACATAAGGTTCTAAGTTTGTCTTTCTAACCATTCTAACTACATTAATATCAAGAAACTCCATTTATTTTGTTGGAACAAAGCTATAAGAATTAATGACTCTATCCATTTAGTTTAACGTTCAGTACTTGCTAGATGCAAAATACTTTTACAGAACATGTGTGAAGAGCACTGTGATATACAAGAGTCAATCTAGTTGCATTATAGAAAAAACCTTGGAGACATTTTTCTAATATACAAATGAAAGGGCTCTGGCTTTAATATTTCATAACGCAGGGTATAGCATATGAGTCTTTACATTTCAGGAGAATAGTAAGTTGGCTTATATTCACTCTATAGTGCCATGTAATTCTTTAAAAATTTTCTTAATGATAAGTCATAGAGAAGTTTGGATGGAATTGCTGTACTTGGGGACCCATTTAGTTATACACATTCTGGGGTAAAGAGGATGCAATGAGGTGAAATTTGAGATCTGGACTTTAGGGTAGGCAAAGATTTCTTTAACAGGATGTAAAACTATAAGAGGAAAAAAATGTTAAATTAGGCTTCAATAAAATTAAGCACTTCTTTTCTTCAGAAACACTACTAAGAGGGTAAAAAGGCATGTCGTAGACTGGAAGAAGTTACAAAACATAGACTTGTCAAAGAACTTGTATTTAGACTACAGAAAAATCCTACAAATCAATAAGAAAAAGTTCAATCAGAAGTAAGCAAAATACTTGAAAAGGAGCCTCACCAAGGAGGATATCCAGAAAGTCATAAAGCAAATGAAGGTGCTCGAGATCATTACTCACAGGGAGATGAGAGTAACACGCGAGAATGACTAAAGATTAAAAATACTGGCAGTACCTGGTGTTGGCAATGATACAGAGCGGCTGAAACTGTTGTGTATTATTGACTATGGGTGGAGTTATAAACAGGGAAAACCTCTTTGAAAAACTGTTGAACGCGTCTACTAAAGTTAACCGGGCCTATTCTATCTATTCTGCCTAACGAACCACTCCAGCCCACAAAGATGTCTTACTCTCACAGTTGTGTGGGTTGGTTGGTGGCTCATTTGCTGGTCTCATTCACTTGTGTGGCTGCGGTCAGCAGGCGCTTGGCAGGGCTGCTGGTTTCAGAGGGCCTCGTATACAGGCGAGGACAGCTGGCACAGCTGGGTCTCTCCATGGGTCTTTTATTCCTGGCTTCTTCGGAGCATGGTGGTCTCAGGTTTCTAAAGGACAAGAACTACAGTTTTAAAACCTCTTCAAAGCTGGAAGTTGCACAAAATCACTTTTGTTACATTCTGTTCATCAAAATGAGTCATGATTAAGTGTAGAATCGGTGGCTGTGAAAGGGCATGAGTGCTGGTAGGTTGATTAGGAGGGTGTTTGGATAGCGGTCTACTCCCAGGTATATGCCCAACAGAAACAAGTGCCTCGGTAAGCCAGAGTCTCACAAGATTGTTCACAGCAGCTCTGTTCATAATAGGGCCTAAATGGAAATAAGCGAGTGTCCACTAGTAGGAGAATGGAGAAATAAGCTGTGGGACTCAGACAGCCTCATACAGTAGAATCCTACAGAATTAAAAGGACTAACTACTGAATCATGTTGTAACATAGGTGAATCACTAATTTTGAGAAAAAAAGAATAGATCCTGGTTAATTCCATTTATATGAAGATTAATAAGCAGAACTAATCCAGGGCGATAGAAAAATCAGATCAGTGGTTACTTCTGGCTTGAGAAAGGGAAATATTCACTAGAAGGGGCATGAGGTGGTTTTCTAAGGGCTGGAAATGTTCTGATTTTGGTGTGGTGGTGTTTGTGTTGGTATGTACATAGGCGAGAATTCATCCAGCTGTGCACGCTTTACGGTTTGTAGATTATCGCTCAATTTTTAAAGGTAAAAAAACAAAAAAGAAACTTGAGCTCTGACATCCTAAAGACCCCGGGGTGAAATCTCGGCTCTACACTCAGTGGCCTGTGCCTCTGGGCGGGGCTGAGCCTTCATTTCTCATTTGTTCACTGCAGAGTGACACACAATTCCTACAAAGCTAAGTAAGGTCTGGAGATACGATACTGAGTAAGAAAGGCATTTTCCTGCCCTCACTAAGGTGTAGTTCTTACAGAGGAGGTTTCCGAGTGTGTTGTTCATTACGTACTATTTTTACTTTTTGGTTTTTTTATTGAGGTGCAATTGACATATTAGTTTCAGGTGTACAACATAATGATTCAATATTTATATATATTGCAAAATGGTCACCACAATATAACATCTGTCACCCTACATAATTAGAAATTTTTTCTCATGAGAAAAGTTCTCGTGATGAGAACTTTTAAGATGTACTCTCTTAGCAACCTCAAGTGTGCGATATCGTATTATTAACTATCATCACCAAGCTGTGCTGTTTTTATTTTTAGAAGGCTTGCATGTCATTATCTGTCAAAGCACCTGTCAGTGAAAGCTATCAGTTTGAACTGGGTAAAATTGCCATTTTATTTATGTCAGAACTGATTGAACCTAATACACCTATAGGAAGTCTCTTATCCATTATTCTTAAAAGTTTTGGTGGCAGAAAGTGTGTTTCCCTTCTCTGTGGTTTCTCTGTGCATGAGACCCGTGACCGTCCCAGTGCGAGATGCCAGCAGGCAGCTGTCATCCGTGGCGGCTGAGAAGTCCCCCCACGCTCCTGTTGGCCTTCAGGGGCTCTGGACATAGGGTGGCTATTGAGCCCCCCTGGGCTGAAATGGCCTGTGTTTCTGAAGTCTCCCCAGCAATCTCACTCAATAAGAAGGAGAGAAACAAGAGGAGGGAAACAATTGGAACATTTTCCCCTGAGCTGTGCTTGAGTTCTTAAAGTACCATTTGACGTAGATGACAGAGGCCCTGTCATGTAACGATGGAAATGATGGGTTAATGATGGAATTTCTTATTGTATTCTTCTTGTGGTATTTCTTTTAGGAGCAGACATTAAAGACAAGTTAAAATGCTATGACTTTGATGTGCATACGATGAAGACACTGAGAAACATTATTTCACCTCCCTGGGATTTCAGGGAATTTGAAGTAGAGAAACAGACTGCGGAAGAGACAGGGCTTGCACCCCTGGAAACCTCAAGGAAAACACCAGATTCCAGACCCTCCTTGGAAGAAACCTTTGAAATTGAAATGAATGAAAGTGACATGATGTTAGAGACATCTATGTCAGACCACAGTACGTGATTCCAGATGGGCCCCAGTTCCGTTTGTCGAGAGCAGGTCCGTGTTTCCTCACAGCTTTGTCATGTCTTAAGAATTTCCCATTTCTCACCCTGAATTCAGACTATACCTCAGCGTTTAGGAACAGAGACCTGCCTTAAGAGACTGGATTGCATGCCTTTGCAACAGATGTTTTCTGATCCTACAAAATAGTTATGTGTCATGGAATAAAGAAGGTAAACCATCTATTATGTCCTTTTTTTTCTTTTTCAGTAAACTTTTATTTTGGACTAATTTGAGATTTACAGAAAAGCTGCAAAGATAGTACAGAGCATGTCTGTCCACCCTCAGCCAGTTTTCCATGGCTAACGTCTTGCGTCACCCCGGGGCCTTTGGCGTGACTAAGAAACCCACCCTGGCACATCACTAGCGACTGGACTGCAGGCTCTGGTGTCAGCAGTTCTCCCGTGAGTGCCCTCTGCTGCCCTGCACCCATCCAGGGGCCACGCCACACCTAGTCATCCCATCTCCTTAGGCTCCTCTTGGCTGTGGCCGTGTCTCCGATCCTTGTCTCATGACCGGGGTGGGTTGAGAAGGACTGGTCATATGTTTTGTAAAATGTCTCTAAATTTGAGCTTGTTTAATATATTTCTCGTGATTGGACTAAGGTTATGGGTTTTTGGAAAAAATACCACAGATGTGAAGTAACTTTCTCCTCACGTTGTGTCCTGGGGTATATCATGGACATCATGTCCTGGAGTTTATGCTGTGTGGGAACTCTGCTCTCTGTTCCATCTTTCTGTAAACCTGAACTGCTGTAAGAAATTAGGTGTGTATGTATACAGGTTTAGGTAGCTAGCCATTTTAAACATTTTCAAGAGTACAATTCAGTGGCATTTATTTCCAAATTTTTTTCATCACCCAAACAGAGACTTTGTACCCATTAAGCAGTAACTCCCCACTCATCCATCCCCTCCAGCCCCTGGTAACCTCTAATCTACTGTCTGTCTCTGTAAATTTGCCTATTCTAGATAATTTCATTTAAGTGGAATCATTCAATATTTGTCCTTTTTGTGTATGGTGTATTTTACTTAGCATAATATTTTCAAGGTTTATCCATGTTGTAGCTTTTATCAGAACTCCATTCCTTTTTATGGCTGAATAATAACTCCATTATATGTATATATACCACATCCACCAGTGGATGCTTGGGTTGTTTGCCTTTTGCCTGTCGAGAATTATGCTGCTGTGAACATGAGTATATAAATATCTGAGTCCCTGGTTTCACTTCCTTTGGGTGTATACCTAGCAGTGGAATTACAGGGTCATTTGATAATTCTGTGTTTAACTTTTTGAAGAACCAACAGAGTTTTTCCACAGCAGCTGCACCATTTTACATTCCTACCACCAGTGCATGAGGGTTCCAGTTTCTCCACATCCTCATGAATGCTTTTTACAGTTTTTTTTGTTATAGCCATCCTAGTAGGTGGGAAGTGGTATCTCATTTTAATTTGATTTGTGTTTCCCTAATGACTAGTGATGTTGAGCAACTCATGTGCTTATTGGCCATTTGTAGATCTTCGCTGGAGAAATGCCTATTCAAATTGTTTGCCCATTTTTAAACTGGACTGCTTTATCTTTTTGTTGTTGAGTTGTAGGAGTTCTTTATGGACTCTGGATATTAAACCCTCATCAGATAGATGATTTGCACATAATTTCTCCCATTCTTTGGATTGTCTGCTCACTCTTTTGATAGTATCCTTTGATACATGAAAGTGTTAAATTCAGTTAAGTCCAATTTATCTATTTTTTCTTTTGTCAGCTGGGCTTTTGGTGTCATATTTAAGGAACGATTGCCAAACCCAAGATTGTGCAGATTTTCACTTATGTTTTCTTCTAAGATTTTTATAGTTTTAGCTCTTACATTTAGGTCTTTGATTCATTCTAAGTTAATTTTTGCAAATTTTGTAAGTTAAGGGTCCAGCATCACTCTTTTGCATGTGGATATTCAGTTTTCCCAGCACCATTTCTTGAAGAGACTGTCTTTTCCCCATGAAGGGTCTTGGCACCTGGGTCGAAGTTCAGTTGACAGTAAATATGAGGGCTTATTTCTGGGCTCTGAATTCTATTCCATTGGTCCGTATGTGTATCCTTATGCCAGTAGCACACTGTTTTGATGACTATGGCTTGTAGTAAGTGGGGAAGTGTGAGTCTTCCAGGTTTGTTCTTTTTCAAGTTTGTTTTGGCTATTGTGGGTCCCTTGAGTTTCCATATGAATTTTAGAAGTTTTTTCCATTTCTGTAAAAGAAATGCTATTGGGATTTTGATAGGGATTTCATTGAATTTGTATATCTTTTTTTTTTTTTTTGAGGAAGATTAGCCCTGAGCTAACTGCTGCCAGTCCTCCTCTTTTTGCTGAGGAAGACTGGCCCCGAGCTAACATTTGTGCCCATCTTCCTCTACTTTGTACGTGGGACACCTACCACAGCATGGTGTGCCAAGCGGAGCCATGTCCGCATCCGGGATCCAAACCAGTGAACCCTGGGCTGCCGGAGCGGAATGTGTGCACTTAACCACTGTGCCACTGGGCTGGCCCCAGAATTTGTTTATCTTAATATTAAGTTGTCTAGTCCATAAGCACAGATGTCTATTTATATATGTCTTCTCTCATTTCTTTCAGCAATGTTTTGTAGTTTTGATTGTACAAGTCTTTCACCTCCTTGGTTAAATTTATTCCTAAATATTTTATTCCTTTGAATGCTATTGTAAATGGAATTGTTTTCTTCGTTTCCTTTTTGAGTTGTTCATTTCTTTCTCTTTTGTTTTTTTAAAAGATTGGCTCCTGACCTGACAACTGTTGCCAATCTTCGTTTTTTTTTTCCTGCTTTTTCTACCCAAGTACCCCCAGTGCATAGTTGTATATTTTAATTGTGGGTCCTTCTAGTTGTGCCACGTGGGACGCCCACAGCGTGGGCTGACAAGTGGTGCCGTGTCCGTGCCCAGGACCTGAACCAGCGAAACCCAGGGCCTCCGAAGCAGAGTGTGTGAACTTAACCACTCGGCCATGGGGCCAGACCCCGTTCATTTCTAGTGTATAAAAATACAACTGACTTTTGTGTGTTGACTTTGTATCCTGAATGTGTTCATTAGCTTTAACTCTGTGTGTGTGTATATTCTTTTGAGTTTTCTATGTAATAGCATCATGTCATCTGTGAATAGAGACAGTTGTACTTCTTTCTTTCCAATTTGCATTCCTTTTATTTCTTTTCCTTGCATACCTGCTTTGGCTAGAATCCAGTACTTTGAATGGAAGTGGCGAAAGTAGGCACCACTGTCTTGTTTGTGATCTTCGAGGGAATGCCTTGAGTCTTCCACCACTGAGTGTGAGGTTAACTGAGTTTTCATAGATAGCCTTTGTGGCTTTGGGGAAGTTCCCTTCTATGCCTAGTTTATTGAGTGTTGTTGTTGTTTTAGTCAAGAAAGGGTAGAGATTTTGTCAAATGCTTTTTTTGGAGCAATTGAGATGGTCTGGTGTAATGAGTTCTAGGGTTCCAGGGCTGTTTGAGGAAAAGACTTGACTACGAGGTGGCAGTAGCACATTTTATTTGGGGTAGCTTCATCCGAGCAGCACTTGATGGGTTGTATGAGGGGGTAGCCCCCTCCATGGACAGTAGCTTGGGGCCACCCCCAGAAGGGAAGAGGACAGGGAACTCCTGGGGGAGAGGGCGTTCTAGAGGGCCTCACGTGTCTCGGCGACGTGGCAGCTGCATGGCACAGAGTCCTGGGTGGAGAAGTTCCAAGTGCAGCAGCAGCTTGGGGTCATTTATAGCCCCTGGACTTGTCTAATTTACAAATAAGACTAGCAGGTGCTGGGTGTAGTTTTGCCAGGTATGCAAAACAGGCAGGCTCTAAATGGCTAAAGATATGTTTGCTGGGCTTTATTTAAAACAATTGCACGTGTAAATTTTGATTTCGCGCTGGTGGGCTTGAGCTAACCATCCCAGCACGCTATGAAGAAGTAAACGACGTGGGGCCCATATACGAGGGGACGTCTTTGGCTCTTTTATATAACGTCTCTCAGGATCTTTCCTTCATTCTATTAATGTGGTGTATCACATTGATTGATTTTCATTATGTTGAAATACCCTTGCGATTCTGGGATAAATCCTACTTGGTCATGGTGTGTGATCATAGTGCTGAATTGAGTTTGCTAATATTTTGTTGAGAAGTTTACATCCATATTCATAAAAGATATTGCAGTGTCTGTAGTTTTCATGTGGAGTCTTTGTCTGGCTTTGGTATTGGGTAATACTGGCCTCACAGAATGAGTTAAGTATTCCCGTCTCTTCAGTTTTTTGGAAATGTTTGAGAAGAATTGGTATTAATTCTTTCAGTGTTTGGTAGAATTAACCAGTGAAACCATCTGGTCCTGAGCCTTTCTGTGCTGGGAGGTTTTGGTTACTGATTCAATGTCCATCCTTGTTACAGCTATTTCTTCTTGAGTCAGTTTTGGTAGTTTGTGTGTTTCTAGGAATTTGTCTATTTTATCTAGGTTATTCAATTTGTTGGTGTACAGTTGTTTCTAGTTTCCTGTTGTAATCTTTTTTATTCCTGTGAAGTAGTAATTTCCCCTCTTCCATTTTATGATTTTAGTAATTTGAGTCTTCTCTCTCTCTCTTTTTGTTCTTAGTCAGTCTGGCTAAAGGTTTTGTAGATCTTTTCAAAGAACCAACTTTTGATTTTGTTGGCTTTCTCTGTCGTTTTTCTCGTCTCTATTTCATTTCCACTTTAATCTTATTTCCATCCTTCTCCTGGCTCTGGGTTTAGTTTGCTGTTCTTTTTCTAGTTCCTTAAGATGCACAGTTAGGTTACTGAATTAAGATTTTTTTTAATGCAGGCATTTACAGCTATAAATTTCCCTCCAAGTACTGTTTTTGCTGCATCCCATAAATTTTATTTAGTATGTTATGTTGTTGTTTTCCTCTGTCTTAAGGTATTTTCTAGTTTTCCTTATAATTTCTTTTTTGGCCCATTTGTTGTTTATGAGTCTGTTATTTAATTTCTGCATATTTGTGAGTGTTCCAGTTTCGCTTCTATTATTGATTTCCAGTTTCATTCCGTTGTGGTCGGAAAGGGTACTTTGTGTGGTTTCAGTCTTTCTGAGTGTGTTAAGGCTTCTTATGGCCTAATTTATGGTCCATCCTGGAGAAGGTGTCCTGCTCACCTGAGAAGATTGTATATTCTGC